AAAAAAAAAACCCTCGTTGCGTTTAAAATGTTCAACGCTACTACCACAACTGTAGAAGCGCCGTCCCACGATCAATAATATGTATTGCAGCAGCGCGATAAAATCTTCTTGTTGTATTAGATTTTTTTTATAAAGCAACAGACTTGTGCAGGAAGAGTTAAGGTACATTTATTACTCGATAGGATTCATATTTTATGCAGAGTGATATAAAAGTAGTGTAACTGGAAGCTTCCGTATTTGAGATGAAGAAGGATACGAAACGATGATTTTTTAAGCAGCAAATCTTATGCTATTTAATTTAATTATCATCAGTTTGTGATTTAGAGTTCGAGGCTGACCGCGAAAACGAGGCTGCAGCCGTTTCCAATGCTTGAATTCAGGCACACCCTATCCAATACGCCCTTGAGTGTGAAATTACTTGGTGAGCAATTTGACCGATCCTTCTCCTTTTTTCTATCCTTTTCTTCCGAAGCATTTAAACCCATGATTCAGTAGGGTCGAAATTTTTACTCAGCTTTTTGATCACGAATTGAATTGATCGTATACTTCACCGATTGTACAAGCCGAAACGTAAAACGTTTTGTTAATTAATTTCCTTTTTATGTTGAACAGGGGAGGGCGAACAAAAGGAGCAGTTGCAAGATGTGGAAGACCAGGACGTATCGTAACTCTAACTGTAGTGAGTGTTATCTTGCGCATATAAAACTGAAAACACAAGAAAACAAAAAAACTCTTAATAACTTGTAAGCAAAAGAAAACAATTCAGCAGGTGGCAGTTCGGGGTGGGAAGGGGAGATCTTTAGCGATTGCGTGGCCCTAAGCACGCACGTACGGTTACTCCAAAAAAAGAAAAAAAAAAAAAAGAAAAAAACAGAAACGAAAAAAAATCATTTGAATTAACATACATATTGAATTAAGAAGCGCGCAGAAAAGTAACAAAGTAAAAAAAAAAAAAAAGGATATACACTCTGCGGTAAATAGAAAGACTGCAAGAGCATTTAGAGAGGCACTATTCTTTGCCTTTTTTGCGTATCGAGAAATTTAAAAAATGCTGTCTTTTTCAGTGGACGATGTCGAGAATGTTGAG